AATCATTAATGTTGCATTCTCTCTCTCTCTCTCTCTCTCTCTCTCTCTCTCTCTCTCTCTCTCTCTCTCTCTCTCTCTCTCTCTCTCTCTCTCTCTCTCTCTCTCTCTCTCTCTCTCTCTCCCTCTCTCTCTCTCTCTCTCTTTCTCTCTCGCTCTCTCTTCCTCTCTCTCTCTCTCTTCTCTCTCTCTCTCTCTCTCTCTCTCTCTCTCTCTCTCTCTCTCTCTTCTCTCTCTCTCTCTCTCTCTCTCTCTCTCTCTCTTTCTCTCTCTGTCTCTCTGGTCTTTGTCAGCATCGCAGGAAGGACAGTGGTGGACGCGAGAGGGCGGAGATATTCCTTTGTTCCTCGGTTCATTTCCGTATCTCGCTGCGAGGAACTTCTGTCTAATTAAGCTACTAGGAATTTTATAGAGAATTATCCCTTGCATGTATATTTGTATGTGTATATATTTGTGTGTATGTGTATATGTTTGTGTGAATGTTCGTATATTTGTGTGTATGTGCATATATTTGTCTGTAAGTGAATATATTTGTGTGTATGTGTATATTTTTTCTGTATGTATATACATTTGTGTGTATGTGTGTGTGTGTACGTGTGTAGCGCTAAACCGGCATGAGTCGCTGGGAGGTATGCCTGATGGAGGCTCAATCCTCCGTCTACGGCCAGGCTTTTCTTCTAGCATCAGGGTTCAAGTAGACATAACCAGCTCCACTTTAAAAGAAATAAGTCTTTGTCCAAGTGATTTTTAAAGGTGTGTATCATATATTTGTCCTTAACTCAAGGTGCAGTCTCTTCAAGTATTTCACGACTGAAAAAAAAAAACTTTTCCAACCTTTGTGCTGCGCCTCTTGTCTCAGAGTTTCATACCGAGAAAACAATAGGTGTTTCACAAAGTATTTTGTGTTAGAGTATCATAAATTTATTTTATATTTCATTGGCTTGAATGAGAGGAACATAAAATTTAAAAGTATTATCGACTCATGTCAAATATTACATCAGTTTGGGTGTCCCGTAGCTCGATCGCTAGCGCAGTCACCTCGCAAACTGAGGTCCGGGTGTCGATCACCGGTACGGGTGGAAAGATTAGGACACGTTTCCTTAAGGCATCTGCTGTCCATATTCACCTAGCAGTAAAGTAGGTACCAGGGTGTTAATCGAGTGGTGTGGGTTGCATCCTGGGGACAAAATTGACCTAATTTTCCCGAAATGCTCTGCATAACAAGGGGTTTTCTCTATAATAATGTGACATTAATGTCAGCTATGGTCTATACATGTACTTGTAGAAATAAAGATTATTATTATTATTATTATTATTATTATTATTATTATTATTATTATTATTATTATTATTATTATTATTATTATTATTATTATTATTATTATTATTATTATTATTATTCAGACCCTGATCCACCACGAGGCCTGGTCTCATACCGGGCCGCGGGGGCGCTGACCCCCGAAACCCTCTCCAGGTATACTCCAGGTATATTGAAAAGAAAGTCTACGCAGCCGGCACACCCAAAATGTATACAGGCAGACATTTTTTTGCTTATACAAATCAATTTTACAGGCTAAGAGTTGTTATTCTGTCTCAGCTTATTTCAAAACCCAGCATTATCTAAAGTATACTACCCCCCCCCCAGGATGCCACCCACACCAGTCGGTTAACACTCAGGTACTACTTCTAGGTGAACACGGACAGCAGGTATAAGGTGACTAACACCCAGGTACCTACTTACTTCTAGGTGAACAGGGGCAGCAGGTGTGAGGTGAATAACACCCAGGTACCTACTTACTGCTAAGTGCACAGGGACAGCAGGTATAAAGAAACATGTCCGACGTTTCAATCCGGCCGAAGATCAAACCACGGACACTCAGCATTTGAGATAAGTGCGCTACCAATTAAGCCACGGGACTTGAACATATGGAAGAAGAAGAGGAAGAAGACGTAAAGAGAGATAGAGAAGGATACAAATAAGATAGAAAATAGGGACTGTATATATAGAAACCCTCTTGAAGTAACTACTTTTGTTCAAGTTAATATTTACAAAGAAATATGCTAAACACCTCAGTTTTTGAGACATACCCAGCCTACCCGCCCCCCCCATCACACACACACACACACATACACGGAGCCAGGAGTTGTGACTCGACCCCTGCAACCACAACTTGGCGAGTACACACACAACACACATATACTACACACACACACACACACACACACACACACACACCACACACACACACACACACACACACACACACACACACACACACACACACACACACACACACACAAAAGGCAAATATTTACCCAATAAATATGTGTCAATTGCAGTACTGCTAATCGTTCTGCCTCGCTGGTTCGGTTAACTACAAATTCGAGCTTCAAAGTGATTTTGAAACCTCTGTATGGATGAATGATCTAATAAATAATACTTACTTATATATTGATAATAATAATAATAATAATAATAATAATAATAATAATAATAATAATAATAATAATAATAATAATAATAATAATAATAATAATAATAATAATATTATTATTATTATTATTATTATTATTATTATTAATAATATTATTTTTATTATTATTATTATTTTTATTATTATTATTATTATTATTATTAATTTTTTAATTTCTGGATATAATGAAAAAATAAAATATTTTTATTATATTTTTACTATCATTAAATTCATGAGAAGCACTAAACCCGATGGGGTCACATAGCGCCTGGGGAATGAGGAATGGCTCAATCTGAGGCAGGAGAGAGCATCTCCAATTCCTTGCATCAAGAACCCTTCACCGGCATCCAGGGTAGATCATCCTGAAGGTGTTTGTATATATTATGAGGGGGGAAGGAGAGAATTAGAGTTACAATGGCAAGGTCCCGGGTTCAATTCCCTGGCAGGGAGACACATGTGGGACGGGTTCCGTACTCTCCTGCTGCCCCTGCCCACCTAACAGTGTAAATAGGTAACCGTGTAACTGCTTACACACTGTTGTGTGTCGCATTTATAGGAAAAATATGTTAAAAAGCACTTAGTGCTGCTGGAATGTCATATCATCCGTGGGAGAGCACTCCATTCCTGTGTGTACAAAACTCCAGTATCTCTGGAATGTCATATCCTGTGCATAAAAAAATCAATCCTGCCGGGATGTCATCCTGTGTAAGAAATCATTCTGCTACAGTTTAGAAGAAACTATAATTCCTGCTGGAATGTTGTGTGTCACGAACCACAGTACCTGCTGGAATGTCGTGTGTCAGGAACCACAGTACCTGCTGGAATGTCGTGTGTCAGGAACCACAGTACCTGCTGGAATGTCGTGTGTCAGGAACCACAGTACCTGCTGGAATGCCAAGAAAAAAAAGTGATAGTCTAGGTGGAGCAACTCACCTAGAGTACAGTACCTGCTGGAATGTTGTGTGTCAGGAACCACAGGACCTGCTGGAATGCCAGGAACAAAATAAAAAAAAAGTCGTGATAGTCTGGCTGGAACAATTCACCTAGAGTGGAATCGAAATATCATCATTAGGATTCTCCACTGAACGCGGGTTATTGGTAAATCTACTGGAATGCGATATTCTGTGTGTGTAAGAGAAGACACTGCAGTCCTCTGTGTAAGAAACTCCAATACCTGCTGCAAGTATTCCAGTGTTGACATGAAAGTATCCCCGTAAATAACGATGTTAATTAAATAATAATAATAATAATAAAAATAATGAAATTAAGCGCTAAACCCGAGAGGGTCACACAGGGATGATTTTAATTACAGAAATTCGGTATTAGAATTCCTCTTTCACACCTGACCGTCTCGATCCTCCATACATTCTACAGCAAGGAGATGAAGGAAACCACCTAAATGGGAATGAACTTAACACTAGTAATAAAGGTAGAATTACCGACAAAGTGTTAGATAAGAAGACGCAGATGCAACTGATGTTACGGCTTGACAAAAGTCCTGGAGAGCGAAACGTTGCCACAATAAAATGTCACGTTAGTTGCATCTGTGTCCTTTTTTCTTTAACATTCCTCGTCTCCATAGCCACCAAGCTGAAATGATTCTTCATTTCTCTGGAGTAAACATTTCCACCGAGTTCATCATTACGGACTAAGAGATATTCTTTTAAGTTTATTTCTAAGACTGGCCCTCACCTATAGAATACATGCGTTAGCTCCAAGTATCTGACCCACAACAGTCGACTGGGTCTCAGGTACCTATTTACTGCAAGGGGAAAGAGGAGTAGCTGATTGGGAATCTACTCTATGCTGTTTAGGAATCCAGTCCATGTTGTTTGGGAAGCAGTCCATGCTGTTCGGTATCCAATCCAGGACTAACTGGGAGTCGAAATCTCTGTCCACTGATCTACAGCTTACTCTTTCTCTAGCATTATTTTCTTCTTCAATCTGTTTCTGATTTCTTTTTTCTTATTTTATGAACCCTTCCCTAGTCCTTCTTACTCCCTGCTTGTTCTATCAGCTGCTTTGCGCCTCAGAACAATGTAAAGAATCACTTGCAGTCTCCGCTTCTTTTGTTTCAGAAGTGAGAGCTGGTTAAATGGAGTAGATGATCCTCGTCCCTGCCCAGGAGAGCGTTCAGTAAACAAGAAGGTCGCAGGATGAGGAGCTATGCATCGGGTATCTTAAGCTTTTCCCAGGCTAGGGTGGAGGCTTCATACCTCTGTAATGATCCGTGCTGGAAAATTCACACCAGCCAGATGGTGAAGGAATTTGCCAACCATATTTAAGTGCTCAGCCTTTATCCCTCTTTCTCTTCGCCTATGGCGTGGAGCGGACGCTGATTGGCTGGGCTCAGAGCGATACTACTGGTCGAGGCGAAACGTCAACTCAGCGTGATTGGCTGAGGCGTAACCGTCCACGTGCTGATTGGTTGAGGCGTAGCCATGACAACGAGGGGGGACGCGCTTGGAGTGTCAACAAGTGAAAGGGCCGCGGGCCACAACACTTCACTCACAACCCCGCCAGATTTCG